GTTCCACTTGGTGTAGCAATGTCTGCCCGAATTGCAGAAGTTTCAGTAGATAAAAATTGACGACATGAAGGGCCTGGTTGATCTAAAACAGAAATTTCGTTACCAATGATTCTACCAAAAAAGTTTGGATACACGCATTGTAGAATATGGTGTACCTGTATGTAACCAGGAATATTTTAATTATTGTGTCTCCTGATAAAGGAATAAACATTAAAAAAAAAAAAAAATGAATAATATTAGCTTTGTTCCAACACAGCAGAAAACCGTACAATGTACCGTCACGATTCTGCGCAGAAACTAAAATTGTTATAATGAGTGGTTTCGAAACCGTTCATGGGACGATTTTTTGACGTGTTGGAACAGAGTTATTATGTTTACCTACCTATGTCAATCATAGTTGCGAAACTAATTTCTGAAGGCGTCTTAGGACTCTTCGACGAGTTTCAACTGTGTCGATCTCCACTTTTTGCCATTTTGGTGATTGTGGTTTATCAATTAACGACTCCTCACTGTTTTTGATAATTGGGGCTAAAATTAAAATTAATTTTAATGTTTCTGACCTATGCTCCTTTAAACCCGAATTCTAACACGTTGTCGTTAATCAGAACTATGGGGAGGAGTAAGTGAAAATGTAAGTACGTCTTTCTCACATATATCTAGTATTAACTTACCCTCAGGGAGATACAGCAAAAGCGCAGCATTCCATGTGAGTCCTCGTCTGGCTTTTGGATCGCCAACAATAAATTCTCGAGGAAAATGTCTTGTTCACACTCTATAATTATTATAAGCCTTCTCGACACTGAGGCTATTTAGTAAAAGATTGCGAACTTTTATTAGCCATTGTTTCATTTTTTCGGCATCTTTTGGAAACCGGAAATAGCTGCTGTATTTGTCGCCGCACCCCGGAACACAGCATTTCTGATGCTTTTCAATTAACAAACTGGGAGAAGACATTTTGAGATAATAATTATTGATAACTGATAGGTAATTGATAATTCTAAATGTTGGGAGAAGTTCAAAATTTAAATTTTGACGACTGGAAATGACAAAATAAACTTCAAATCTTGGCGCACGGTCCGGCAGGAAAAAGAAAACTTTAATGGGTTGATTGAAGCGCCTCTAGTGATTGGAGGGGAAAGCTGAAACGACTAGACTGACGTCTCTCATAAGACTTACATTTCTAAGGGGGGATGTTTTCTGCAGAACGGTTTAGGAACCACTTTGTATACGAATTTCAATTTCTATGCAAAAATTTTAGGTTTTGCGCAGAATCCTGACGATAATATTACGGTGTCCTGCTGGGTTGGAACAAACAAAAGCTCAATGTCTCTATTTATCTTACCAATTGTACCAAAACATTTCTGTTCGTTGGTACAAAGTTCTCTTATTTACTAACATTTAGTTCACATTCTTTGATGGGATCAATCAATAATCCACTTTGGTTATATCACTTATAACACTTATGGCCATTTCCACAAACTAGTTATTTTTGGGAAGCCTTAAACGATAAGTATTCCCTAGACTGACAGTTTTCCATGGAGAAATGTCAGTTTAGGAAATACTTATCGTAATAGTAGAGAGTTCTCGGGCCGTTCAAATTTCAAATACCGTAACGCTGACAACGCTTGACAAGTATGACAGTTCTTACGGTATAAGCGTTAGCGGAGCCCGCTATTTAACGGAACTTACCGGATGCCCCACCTTAACGCTATGCTCTGTCAAAACTAGTTTACGCTCCATTTATGTCTGCAAAAACAGCAACTTCTAATAATTCCTCCATAAAAAACACCAAGGGAAAATTATTCAAGCTCAGGAATCTTCAGAATAAATAAAACTTAGAAAACAAGCAAAAAAAGTGGGGTTAGATTACTCAACTCAGCTGTCAAAATGTAAACAGAATAAGGGATTAGAGGATTTATGTGTCTTCGTGCTCGAGAACTATAAAATACCATGTAAAATACCGTATTGTTAGCGGTAGGTACCGTATTAGCGTAGCATCTGACGCACGAGAACTTTCTAGTTTGTGGGAACGGCCATTAGGGCCGGTTTATTCACCTTTTGATAAACTGTCAGGTATGCAATCTGACCGACCGATAAAAATGCAATCTCTAATTCCATTGGTTGTTTATCTGAATATAAATAAACCGGGCCTAATAAATATAAAAATCGAACAAACAAAATACGAAATTTTTGTGTGTTTGCATACTTTTGCATTAGCAAATTTATTTATGATCTCCTCATATGACAATATCTGAGCTATAACATTTTCAGTGGACAGCAGGGCTAGATCTGAAGGTTTCTCTTCTGCTAGAGTTGACCGCTAAGGTAAGTTTTAATTAACTTAAGCTTACCAAAGCTCCGTTCACCTTTCGGCACTGTAACAGGAATGGTAACAAAAATACGGAGAGCTGTCCAGATATAAGGAAACGTATCTTGCCAATTATTAAATGCTAACGCCTGAAGGACTGCTTTCGGGTGACTGTTATCACTATCCGAAATATCGTGATCAAATGATCGGGTAAGGACGCCACCACACCCACGATCCGTGCGCGTCTCAAAAAAACGTCAGGACAGGTTATTCTCATACTAAGTAAGCACAAGCTTGCTCACAAGCAGAGAAGCATGATATCGAAAAGCAGAGACAGAATTCAAAGCGAAAATAAAATCTATTTTTTTTTTTTTAAGATAAAAGTCAAAATGACATTATGTTGGCAATATAATGTAAAAGTGTCAATGCTTTCAAATTTTTTATGTAGAAAAGGCTTGTGTTGCCAACAAAGTTACTAAATTTTTGACTTGGGGAATTATCTTTAAAAAAAAAACGAACTTTATACTTTTCCCTTTTTTTGTATTACCAATTAAGGAACGAGTCGAAGGCGCCCCCCGAAGTCTGGCGCCTGGAGCGCTCGCTCAGTTCGCCTTATGGTAGGGCCGGCCCACAATATGGAATTGAAAATGCGGAAAAATTCAAATTATTTCTAGCGGGAAAAAACGCTCTGGTACTGGTAGTGACGTCATGTAGTATGATCTGTCAGTGTCTGTCAGCAACCGTCCATCATACCGTGAGTTCGTCTTGAAACACGGAGCGCTCGGAGCATTTTCCGTCTTTTTTCCTTATGATGAGAAGAACAGGGATAAAAGAACAAAATAGCAACTCCGAGCGTTTACTCGAACTCTACATAATAAATACCAGTTAGCTGTGTTTATTTACGTTTTTCTCTGATTTTTTAAAATTTTGTCATTATTACAATTGGTTTACTTAGTTTTTAAATTCAATGATTAGCTCAGTAATATTATATAATAAATAAAACGATATACCTATTAATTATGACCGAAGAAGGAAATTCCAAAGGCCAATCCGCCAATCTGTAATTTGTGATATGTTTATAGTAGCAAAAGTATGTGCGAATCTTTTTTTCCATTATAACTTAAAATGTGGAAGTCAACCAAATTAAATACAATGAAGTAAAATATAAAGATGTTTTGTGATATAAAGTTTGAAGACAAGGTGACGCAAAATCCAAAATCATAATACGTGACGTCATCCAGATTCGCGCACATTTAAAGTCGTTTGAAATGCTTTTAATACGCGCGAAACTTTAAAAAATTTTCACCAAGTTATTATTGAGTTTTAGGGAATAATATTTGGGGAATACTCTTTCAAGGCATAAATAAATGATTTAAAAAAATAAAAAAAAAATTGTAAAGTTCCCTATTTCTAGCTTGCGTGCCGGAGTGCCACTTCGCTACTAAATTGATTGAGGATGAGCCTTAAACCGGTGTTTTTAACTTGGGCGGACAGTATTTACTAGAGAGTTATTGGAACCATTAAATACTGCCTCGCAGTATTAAGGATCTACGTTATTTTATTAGTGCGTCAGCACTATTTTGCCAAAAAAAAACAGTTATTGGAAGACTATAGTAGGTGCTAGAGTAATACCTTATTTTGTATTCATAATTTTGACAGCTGATAGCTATGTTTAAAAATTTCAGCCTCAAAAAGTGTTTATTTTTGTTTGTGATTTTCTGCTATGATGCCCATTTTTTGATGTTATCCACAGTAAAATGGAAAACTATTGTAAAAAATAAATTTTCTAAGTAAAATTACGTCATCGTCGAAAAGCGAAACGTCAAAGTCGTCCAAAATGTCAGAAATTTGAAATAAATAATAATTAGAGAGTTATTGGACGTGCAATAAGGACAAGCAGTATTTAAATTAGCCTTATTTTGACATATACGCATGCGCATTTGGGTTCGGAAATAAGGATTCCCCTAATAAGGTTACTGCTTGTCTTTATTTGTGTATGGTTAGTGCAAGGCAGTAAACTTCCCTTATTTCAAATTTCTGACATTTTGGACGACTTTGACGTTTCGCTTTTTGACGATGACGTAATTTTACTTGGAAAATTTATTTTTTACAATAGTTTTCCATTTTACTGTGGGTAACATCCAAAAATGGGTATCAGCAGAAAATCACAAACAAAAATAAACACTTTTTGAGGCTGAAATTTATAAACATAGCTATCAGCTGTCAAAATTATGAATACAAAATAAGGTAATACCCTAGTACCTACTACAGTCTTCCAATAACTGTTTTTTTCTTGGAAAGATAGTGCTGATGCGCTAATAAAATAACGTAGATCTTTAATACTGCGAGGCAGTATTTAATAGTTCCAATAACTCTCTAATATACTGCCTCGCACGAACCATACACAAATAGACAAGCAGTAACCTTATTAAGGAGATCCTTATTTTCGGACCCAAATGCGCATGCGTAGATGTCAAAATAAGGCTAATTTAAATACTGCTTGTCCTTATTGCACGTCCAATAACTCTCTACTATCACGATTCTGCCCAAAACCTAAATACTCTTGTAGTATCACTTGGCCCAAATTGATCAATCAGTTCTGACTCTGAACGCTCCGAACAAACAGAACAGCTGTTTGTTGGAAACTTCAACCACCATCCACCCCACCAGTCAAGTCAAAGCAAAGTCAAGTGTTCGTGTTGTCAAAAAATTGTTTTTCAAATTAATTAATAATAATCACCCTCGCTCGCTTGAACATTCTATAATTAAATAATAAATCATTTTACTATTGAATTTATCTTTTGTTGTAGTAAAAATAGGCAAAAAAAGACATTGAAGTTAGCCCAATTTCTCAAGACCGACAAAACTCCTTCGGACCGCTTGGGCATTTCGTCAGAAACAAAAAAAAGTAAGAGGTTTTTGTCCCAAATTTAATTTCTACTTCATGATTCATACTATGTTCGACCTACTTTCACTACTGTTACAAGATTTAAAACACGAAACGGTTTTATATTACCATTCATTAAATATTCCAGATGGAATCGCCACAATCCTGCAACACTTTTGTAGTTTTACCGCCCTTGACTCAACATGGGGTTGTTTTCGGAAAGAACGCCGATAGGCCTCAAGGAGAAATACAAGAAGTGGTTTATTATCCAGCTAGTGAGGGCTCTGGGCCCACCAAGGTAAGAATCAATTCCATGCATATTATGCGGTTTATACAACATTTGCATAGTCGTAATCATAATCATAGTCTTAAGCTTTTTTCAATGGTGTTCATTGAAAAAAGATGGAATACAAACAGCCGGTGATCGGGTGAATCGGATCAGTGTTTCTGAAAACGCCTAAAATCAAATGGCACTGTCGTCAGGTCTGTTTCCACAGAAATCACAAACCAGTCAGAGGGTTTTTGATTAGTCCCAATCGCCAACAACCAGCGCTGGGACTCTATAACGAATAGAGATATTTTCTCTATCTCTATTTACATCTCCTCTCTATTGATTTTGACAAGAGAGAAGAACACAGCAAGTGCCATAGCGATAGGGTTAACGATCCTTATCCGTTACAGAGTTCCAGCTCAGTTTCCTTACTATTTTCAACCAATGAAATTCGCTCTGACTGGTTTGTGATTTCTGTGGAAACAGACCTATTAATTGTCGTTAACTTCGCATGATTTGGTTGTTGGTTGGCACTACTGAATACCGCGCGACCGAACCGGTACTTCCCGGGGCCTCGAATCCTCTCAACAAAACCTAAATATAATAGTATATTATGCAATGATCATGTAATGATAGTCATTAATACACGAGCATGTTGTAGGATACGAAACGAGCCGCAGGCGAGTTTCGTATATAACATGCGAGTGTATTAATGGCCATTACTTGAGAGTTGCATACACTATTTTTTCTACTGCCATTGATAAAACTTATGATATTTAGATATGTCAACATTATGCTTAACTTTGAATAGAGGTTTTATAATTGAGTAATCCATACAGTTGAAGGTTTAATTTTTTGTTGTAATTCTTCAAAATATGCTATATCAAAACATTTTCTGAGAAGGACGATGTGTTTTTGGTGTTTCCAATCCATAAATTGTCCATATAATTTTTCGTAAATTTTTTTGGACTTGTCCGGTAGTAAGTATATTATTACCTGCATTTGTTGTCCTTTCTGTAATTTCTGGAGGTGCTAGTGAAAATTCTTCGTTATCGCTCAATATTTCCATAATAATGCCTTATCCTAAACATTAGGTAACTTTTAATAACAATTCGAAGTATTTTTTTCATAAAATTATTGTTTTTCGCTAAATTACCATGGAAAAGCTATAAACAGAGTGTTGTCAACATTCAAAAAAAAATAAAATTCAAAATTTCTTAACTGGTGGCGCCATCTATTGACAATGTATAATAATGAAAAAAGTAAAAATTCTTCCTTATCACTAATTATTTCCATAATAATTATTCTTTGTCCCAAACTTTAGGTAACTTTTAAACAATTCGAAGTCTTTTATAGTTATCAAAATAATTGTTTTACGCAAAATTACCGTTTAAAATGTTTAATATCTTAACTAGTGCTGCCATCTATCAACATTGTATAATATTAAAAATGAGTATTATAATGAAAATCTGTATCGTAATGAAGTTCATTATGATACAGATTTTAATCGTTTAATAGCGTATTATGAAATGTCAGTAGAAAAAATACATTTTTCTACAACTGTCAAAAAATGATGATGTTCGCACACTCATGACAGTTTGCGAAGTGGCACTTTTTTCCCCAGGTATTGATTTTTTAACGTTCCCATGACGCCGTGCGCGAAATAGCTAGTTCGCACACTGGGTGTCATGGTGACACATACCTGTCAAGAAATCAAAAATAATTAAAATTCACCTACCTTTGATTGAAAATACAATTTTGGCTTCGAATGATTGATATTTAAATGGAGTTGTAGAAAAAATATTGTTTGCAACTCGGGCGCGAAATACTTTGGTGATCTCGACTATTTTTTTAACTCGGCTGCGCCTCGTTAAAAAAATCAGATCTCGATCACCAAAGTAGCATTTCGCGCCCTTGATACAAAAATAACTATTTATTTGTTTAGCGCATTTCGCATTTTTCATTCTGACGGATTTTATTGACGGAAAAAAAAATAGTTTAACGGTTTTTTGACGGAAACCTACAGCAAAGTTAACGGAATTTAAAAAATACTGTTGGCAACACTGCTTGCAATTCTATCTGCAATATGCAAGAAACTTGAACGAGGGCATGCGCAGAAGTGAGTCAGCTGATTGGTTTCTGCAAGATTCTTGAAAATTGAATGGCATTGCATGCAATCGGTTTGGTGCCATTTTTCTTGAAGGTTTTCGTGCAAGCTGGGGAATTTTCAGCATTTATGATGCTTAAAGCTGCTGCTATTCCTTTCTTCTATTTATATCGACTTATAATCACTTTTTTTTTTTTTGGGAAAATGCAAACATCAATAACACAACATTAAAAACAAAAAAGTATGGTTAGGGTTAGAGAAGGAAGCAAGTCAAATTGCAAGGTGTAAAATGATGTGCAAGAAATCTTGAATGCAATTTTTTTGCATGCAAAAAATTGCATTCAAGTTTTCTTGCAAGCTGTAAAACGGCCTTTCAGAGAAAAACAATTCAAATCTGCTATTTTATGGTGGGTTCGGGATGACTGTTCTATAAACTCCAAGTGCAATAAACACTCCCGATGCGTTCGGGTATTGTCATTTTGAGCTAAAAGAGTAACTCCACATGCGTGCGGGAGTCAAAAGAGCTGACTCTGAATCTGAAAGCACCACCTCGTCATCGGCAAGCGCCAGAGCGGGCATGCGCAGTGTTTGCGTTTTCGTGATTTTGTGTCATTTTTCCTTTTTTTTTGATTGCGACAATCGACTATTCGACTAATCGACAGTCAGCAAATCAATATTGAATCTGTAATTACCGTGTTAATAGATGGAATGGATTTTAAACTGCCTATTTGACATGCGAGCAACCTTTAATTTCACTGAAATTTTCAATGATAATCTTGATGACTTCTTCAGACAAGTCTCCGAAATAAACGTCCTCAACAAAATCAAATATACGCGACAAATACCAAAAATTCATAGAAAAGATTAGAAAAACGTTTGTTGTTTTTAAAATAATACTTGTCATTTGTGGGTTAGGTTAAGTTAAGAAACTCCAAATGCACCCTGGCCGTTCGGTTTCACTAATCCACTCCAAAAGCTTTTTGGTCACGTGATAAAAACTCCACTCCAACTCTACTCCAGCACCGCTGGGCTATCCCGAACCCAGCTTTAGTTCTGTTTGTATTTAAATTGATCTTGAGTCATTCTAGAGTATTTAAAAAAAAGGGACTCCATCAAGCTTCTACATGTCTTTGAATAATGTGGCAAAATGCCGTTCCTTCTGCCTTTTTTTATTGATGGGACTCACTTTCCACCTTCTTTGTTTATGGTTTGCGTTTGTTGAAGTTGTTTATTAGCAAAACTCAAAAATAAATAGGACAGACCTATCACTTGTATGGTTTTCTTTCGCAGAATTTTAATTTCCACACTTTTTGAAACTTTGAAAAAGTATTAAAAGTAAATAGACGAGTTCGATTCGCAAAAAGTAAACAAATTCTTCCTACAAAAAGTCGGGTTAGAGTTGATTTTATTTTATGCTTATGACGTATAAACGCCTTCTAAAATTGTGATTATGATTAAGACTAAGACTATGATTATGATTACGACTATCGACTATGCAAATGTTGTATAAACCAGTCATAACTTCATCAGTTTTGTCCGAGAGAAAGGACTATGACTCACTCTGAGACTCTGTTTGACTTTGTTATAGGAGACGAAGCAACATATCTCCAAAGCAAGAATTAAATTTATGGAGTTAGTTTTAGCATTATTGTTATTGAGTTCTGTCTGAGGTTTTGTCCCTGGCAATATAGGGTAGTGGACAATTTTTTGAAATATATTTTTTAATAATCTCCATAATAAAATAAATAGTAGTTGATGATTCTTTGATTTTAGAAAACAAAAATATATCTAAAAAAAAAAAAAAACAAATTTGTACTTATTTTAAACGCTATAATTTACCGCCCGGAAATTACGTCATACCTGTTATGTCTTATAGCGTCAAGGCATTCCGACACTAATAAGAGTGGGCGAGAGCACGGTCAGTACGTCCTTATATTTTACATGCTTCTAGAAAAAGATGCAGATAAGCTCAGTGCGCTTGATTAGGCATTCCAGGTCACGTGACTTTGACAGGTCCGCTGGGGGGCAAACAAAGCCTAGATCAGTATTTACACCGTTCTTTCAGATTGTGTTTCCGAATTTTTGCGTTCTTAAATTCTTTCAATAAGTTTTAAGTTGTTTTTGTGGTAGAATGGCTAACATTGACTATTATTCATCGTTAGCTAGTGATGTGAAATGTCGGTATGACCAAAAAATACAAATAATTGCCAATATAGATCCTTATAAACTTCTACCTAATGAGTTTACTTTAAGTATCAATGAGTTGCCAGAGGTTTCAATTTTGGATTTATCCGAATATTTGACCCACACCCACAGTTACTACACAGGCTTGCAGTTGAAGGCGTATAAAGGGTTATTCAAGTTCTGCTGGACTACCTAAAAGGTATTAAAAGTAAATATTACTTGTAGAAACAAACCAATTTTTCGATATAAATGTGTTTTTGTATTTTAACAACAAGACAGTCATAATACTTACCATTAACAAAATGTTTTGAACAAATACGAGCATTTTTCAGAAACGTTTCAGTTAAATCTCTCCTTTTGAGGCATTTAATCCACAGATTTCGTCGTTCCTTTTTTAGCTCGTTTAGACGATTCCCTAGATCTCTTAATGCTGCTGGGATCCTGAAAAACCTTTTTTTATCTCTTTCCGCTCTACTAGAGCACCTAACAACGCAGCAAAAAGAAGGCATCTTCACAAAATAGATTGAAAATTCTTGGTTTAACATTGAATCAGGTTATGTTTGGCTTTTGTGTGCCCCCCAAACTAATATGGCGGATCGGTTATGACATTAACCTGGAATGCCTAATTGACAAATGGAAATCTCTCAAAAAGTGGGGTTAAGTTGAGGGTGCGCCTAGATGTAATGCGCACTAATGAGTAAGTGTGTGTCGGATATAGGACGAAGGTTTGATTCAT